GTAATATAATACAACACGATGTGTTCCAAGTCATGTAACCAATCAGATTAAACATGTGTGCCTCTATAATGGTGCTTATATTTTCCCTTAAACGGTTGTGTCCCTTAAACGGTGCCCACAAGAGTGAGTTTCGGTTTTGATTCAGGCTTGATTTGGGCCTCGAGAGCAAATGTCGCTGGGGAGCAACTGTCGCGGGAGCATCTGTCATGGAACCATATATATTCATTAGGAATATAGAATAAACAATAGACGAAAAAAGAAAAGAACTTCAATTCGTCAATATTACTACAATACAGATGAAAGAACAAGACGAAAGGTAAATTACTTTATGCTTGTTCACTTAACATACAAAAGAGTGAAAAAGAAAACATTAATCGAGACTAGGATTGAGTTAGAAGAGATCACACTATTGTGTGTGTGTGTTTTTTTTTTATGATAAATGCTTGTAATCAAATAACTACTAACAAATAAAACATGTCATTATATATTTTTATTCAGTGAATCTTTCTATTTTCTTTTGTATTTCAGATTAAATCAAGCTCAATAATCCAATGCGATTCTTTCTATATCGCATGAGAGATGGCTAGACTCAAAAAACAAAGCTGATATTAATTGAATGTAATAATGTATAACAAGCTTAATATTCAAATTATTTATACAATAAAAAATAATTGAAAAGTCATGATGTATTAAACGTGAACAATAAGCTTCTTGCATCAGCCTGTTCAATCGATTGTCAATAGATGAGCAATAATAAAACTTTATTGATTTCAATCCTTTTAACATGCACACACACACATACACACTCTTAAGCGAAACAAAAATTCTTTGTACAAGTCTTGAGAACAAGAAAAAAGATATCTTATGGTGTTCTTTTTTTCAATGAATTGAGATGAGGACATGCTTGTTTACATTCATAGTAGATTGGATGATGAAAGTTAATGTAAAAAGTTCAAAACATTGATTCTTATGCGTATTAATCGCAATATTTTCTATGATTTTGTTTTTTATTTTTTGATAATAGAAAATATATGGAAATCTATAATCTTTGTTTCTTCAAAGTTTTCAAATAATAAACAAATATGACAATTATAATTATCATGTGTTTTCGTATATTTATTAAATAAAGATGCACACGAACGACAATGAAAACATCATTAGTAGAGATTTTTTAATCTGAGCAAAAACGTTCTACTCTTCAAAATTAATAAAATACAATAAAGCTGGCAATACAATGAAAAAAGCAAAATGAGATACACTTGTACAAAATTGTTTACATGTCCTGTTTCTTTTTTGTTATTTTAACCATTATATTCTTATTCGTTTAAAAACTAGGTAAACTATCATCAGATCCAAATGTCATGAAATAAATTGTAATCGTTGTAAATATAACCAGATTAGCTGACATTATAAAAGCCATTGAACCAACTTGAATCTAAATTCACAATAAAGAAAAACAAAAAGCATTAAGTTAAATTTACAAAGATAAAAACTACATACAACAGTTGCATGATACATAACCGCTGGTAAACCAAATGCCGAAACAACAATAACACTTGTTATAAACCACATTAAATCTGCACATGGACTTGAATCTCGTAAAGTATAGCCACCATCGGATGTACAGCGACGTCCAATGGCTATTGAAATTGGAGCAAGAACGTAAAATATAATTACAAATGTTGGCCACCAATTACTTCAAAAAAAAAATAAAAACTCATTTAAGAAAAAAAAACACAACAATAATATAAGTACATACTATTGAGCGAAAGTACAACCTAAGATGAGTAATGTAAGGCCAATGGAAGCCAGAAAAGCCAGAAGAACAACACTAGATAAGACAACAATAATATATATATAGTAAAAATTATAAAACTACTTGTTCGAATGAAACTGTTTAATAAGTTTCGATTATTTCAGTTCTCATATGTAAAGAGAAAAACTATGTGAAGACATTTATTAAGGTGTATTCTGTTGTGAATATGAAATCATATTCATTTGATTGATCTGTCAGGCTCCAGGAAAACAGATGATTGTCAACATCTGTCGATTGTTACCTCATGAAAATAATAATATTGATATCATAATGTTCTCATGTCTTACCGATTCTATATATTTAACGAGGTAAAACTTGAAGTACATATGATTTAGTATTTAGACAGAGAACATCTCAATATGTCTTCAAATAATTTTTTCTTTATTTAATATAATTAAAAGAGTCGAAACTTATCCAATAGTTCTATTCGAGTGAGTCACTCAATAGTTTTGGCCAGAATTGTATGTTTCATCAATAATAAAAAACAAAAAAAAATACTTTCCGTAGAAAAAATAATTAAATTCTTGATATAAATTTTTTTTTAAACACTCAATATCTTACCTTTAATTCCTTGGAAAAAACCCATTGTTCAATTGGTATCTATTTTATCTAGAAGAAACTTTTAGTCTTATAGTAAACAATTATGACTAACAAAGTGAAAAATAAACAAAAGAGATAGAAATCGAATTGACAAAAAAAACATCAATGGGGAAAAAAAACTTAATGACGGTTCCTTTCTTTTTTTTTTATATTAATTCCATGGCCAAGGATTCATGCGATTTTTACGCATTAGAAACTTAATTTTTCGTTCCATTTCATTATTATAAATTTCATGTGCTCTAAAAGAAACGAAAAAAAAACAAAGAATTTATGTGAATAAATAAATTCTAATGTACTTTTCATAACAAAGTCGACCACGTTTTCGAAATGGTTTTTCGTATCGTTCCCATAAACGAGCTGTTTTAAATACATCTTCATTATTTAAAACTCTAAAAAAGAGAAATTCTTTGTTTTTTTTTAAATGTTTCTTTCACAATTAATATTTCTACCGATTTAAAGCTCGATAAGCTAAATCTACTTCACCGTTACGAACCCAAACTGTTCGTGCCAAAAATCTTGAATGAACATTCCACATCTACAATATTGAGATGACAATTAAAACAATGATTCATTTCTACAAAACAATCGAAGTAGATTCATTCAATTGATAATATCATATTCCATTAAAAATCATATTGAAACTTGAATATTATCTTTCATTTTTACTATTTGAAAAATAATGAAAGGATTCAAAATGTGAACTGCAATTTTAATAGAATGATTGACAAAAAATCGAATGAAATGTGAACAAGTCTTTCACCTAATTGAATCTTATAAGAAAACCTCACCAATTCATATGAGTTCTTCTTCCCTAGTTATGATCATTTTACTAAAGTTTTAGTCTATTGCAAGTAAAGCCAAATCGAGAAATTTGACACTAAAATGAATCTCATAGACTTTATAATCGCTTGAAAGTTTCAAACAAAATGAATGCTTTATTACCGAGATAACAAATGTGAAAAAGAGTAAGTTTTTTTCACATTCATTCATATAGAAGTTATTCGATGTTGTTTTGATTGTAATATCCTGCACAAGATTTAAAATCCAACAAAATGATCATTAATCGAGAACAAACATTGAATAGAAAAAAATTCTTTTTTGAGGCTTTTACCTGTACTATAAGTTCTACGTATTTATGAAAAAAAAAATATCACCTCAAAGAAAATGTATGATTTGGTGAAGTTCTCTCGTCAATCACCGTAAGGGATCGAGGTCTAAACATTTACATATTTATACTTCATCACAAGTATGGATCAACGGATCTCGTTTGCTCGAATGGAAGCCGAATTTTAATGGATGAAGTAAATTTTTAGTATAAGCTCCATAACTTTAATCACTAGTGCAACGTTTGATTCTGAAACGTGCAGAAAAAAAAAACTTATCTAAAATTTTCATAATGCATTCAATTACCATTGAGTTACGCATCTTGAAAGTTCATGAACTTTGCATGACATATGGTGTTACATACTGAAAAGTCTGTCAACCCTATAAGGTCTTCCATATTCAGAGTTATGAAGCTCAAAGTCAAAAGAAAAGGCACTATTCATCATAGTTCAGCGTTCACTCAAACAAGCAGATCCCTTCTCATGATTGAAGTCTGATGGCGAGAAAGATTTTTGTCTAGCATGTGTATTTGACTGTAGAATCTTAGTATGAATTATATTTAAAACATGTCAAGAAGTGAAAAAGAAAAACTGTAAAGGGTGGGTCAGAAGTCCTGACTCGATTTGTATAATAAATTTTTCTATAGTGAAACGCATGGTTGTAAATTTGTTTCTATGAGGAAAAGATGCAGTAAAAGACGCTCTACAAAATGACTATTGAATGATCCCGCTAGCTCATATAGTAAGAAAGTTATAAGCTTAGAAATGTGCTTCACAAAAAATAAAAATTAACCGTGAACCCGGTCTATATGGTGATGCTTTCAGTAAAAATCCCATAAATTCATCAGAACAAAAAGTTTTTCGATCAGATTTGTTTTGTTTTGATCGGAAATGATTGCTCTTCTCTGACTAGCTACAAAATCATGCTTAAACTTTAATTCCAGAACTTCAATCAAGACAACTATGCAAATTATACATGAGGCAAAAAGAAAATAAAAACTCTGCAAATTTGGGATTGTTTTTGAATTAAACTTTTTCTTTTTCTATTATTTCCATAAAACAGCGTAGCAAAAGTGAGAACTCAGTTGAGCTTGGTACTTTCAGATGTACTCTTTCTCACAGTGTTTAAAAAATTTTTTTTTTGAGTACATGGTGTGTTCGAGATGCAAGTTTCAACACTACATGAAAAATCGATAACCTCGTTTCCGACAATGTACTTAGCAAGAAACGGAAAACGTCATCGAAGCTTTGATTTTGCAGCTAGTCAGAGAAGAGCAATCATTTCCGATCAAAACAAAACAAATCTGATCGAAAAACTTTTTGTTCTGATGAATTTATGGGATTTTTACTGAAAGCATCACCATATAGACCGGGTTCACGGTTAATTTTTATTTTTTGTGAAGCACATTTCTAAGCTTATAACTTTCTTACTATATGAGCTNTCTATTAAAAAAAAAGAATTTGTTCCAGGAAACATAACGTACAGGAGTTAGAGCAAAAATACCGAAATCGAGTTCACGATTACTTTTTATTTTTTGTGAAGCACATTTCTAAGCTTCTAACTTTCTTACTATATGAGCTAGTAGAGTCATTTAACAGTCATTTTGTAGAGCGTCTTTTCTTCATAGAAACAAATTTACAACCATGTGTTTCACTATAGAAAAATTTATTATACAAATCGAGTCAGGACAAAGTACATTTTTCTTCTGATTTCGTCGCTGGTAATGATCTTTACTTGTTTTTTTTAACGACTGAACATTCGAAGAAGATTGATATGCAGTTCAGATTTTGTTTTACCTTTTTTTTTCAAATTTTTGAAGAAAACAAAACAAGATTATTCAAGAGTTCAATAACGACGTTGCAAAGAGAAATTCAATATTGAATAAATCTACTTGGAAATAAAGCCATATATTATAGATAAAATAAAAATCTGATTAATAAATTTTTATCTAGAAATTCATGTAAAGAAAACAAATACTTTCGTTTTACATTTCATAGGTTATTCAATAATACAAAAAAAAAGAACGAAAACAATTGATATTATATAAATTTCTATGATTAACTACTACTGTATACATAATAAACAATAGAAAATAGAACAAATAATAATATATGTATATATATTTATATGCAATATCTATCTTCATTGAAGCTACGATTCCTGAGAGATTGAGATGATAAATACTTTGACTATGTCGGATAATTTCATTAGACAAATATTTTCTTATTTTGTTGACATTACGGATGTACAGAGAGACTAAGAAATTATTATGATGATGTTACTGGACTACGATGTGGACGGAAAAATGCTCGTTTCACACGATTAGCTAATGATGACTTGACTTTTGTTGATTTCTAAATATTGAGAAAAAAAAAGAGAGAAAAGAAAAATGAATTTCATATTTGTTTTAAAATAATATAATAAAATACTTTATCAATATTTATTGTTTGTTCATTATTATTATTAGGAATATTTTTAAGTTCATTTGCTTATCCAGTAGTACTATAAGATTTTCGTCGACGTGATGAATGAATATTATTTTCATTTTCATTTTCATTAGTATTTATTATCGAAGCTGAATGCGTTCGAAATAAACGAGATTTTCTTTTGGAATTTGTTTCGTCTTTTTCTTCTTGTTCTTGTTCAGGTGAATTATGATTATTTGAAAATGAAAATCGAAAATGAGAACGACGACGTGTAGAAGATTTTTGTTTATTATTATTACTACTTATTTGATTTAATTCATCGATTTCCATCATATCAACAACAGGTTGTTGTTCTTTAGTATGATTACGAAAACATTGTTCAACTTTTCGTGCTAAATCATCATCAAAAGTTGATAATGTTTGTGTTTGCTGAGTTAAAGGTAAAAATTTTTGATCATCTTCTTCATTATTTGTTGAAGGAACGAGTGGAAGTTCAATTTCGTTTCTTAAAGGAGATGTTGTATTATTTTCCTTTTGTTGATTGATTTTTATTAATTTACGACGTGGTGTATCGTCAAGCATTTCAGTTATGTCACCTGATGCAGGACGTTTTGGAGTCTAAATTAACAATTTAATTAATTCAAAATCCTAAACAATAATTATCTAAAGTTCCTATTTGAAAATGGATCAATATCAAACGAAAAAAACAATTATCCAGCACGAATTCTACCTAATTTCTTTCTACAACTAATTTTGTAAGGATGGATAAAGAGAAGTTTTATTTTGAGATCCTCCATTTGTTTGTAGGACATCAAGTTTTTTCCAGAACGGGTTAAAAAATAAATTTTAGTTGTAACTCACGGCTAAATTAGAATTTCGATTTCGAATTTATCTGACTCCGTTTATCATAAATGAAAGCAAACTTTACCTTTGGATTCATCGAAAATTTATCTTTGTATTTAAATTTAGAAACTGATTTGGTCAGTACTACTTTTCAAATCGCTATAAAGAATAAAGTGTTCACATGGAATATTTTACGGATATGAAAAAAACTGATATTTTAAAAGAGGACCGGTAATTGATTAAATCGATACCCTAGAGAAATTTCTGGTAGAATTAGCTCGATAGGATTTTTTTTTGCTATGTCGAAGCCGGTTGAAATAGTTAATAATTGTCACATGTATACTGGATCCAGACTCCTTTATCTATCAGTTTGGCAACCGTTTCCACTAGTCTTTATATGTAAAAAATTGTAAGGATACTATTTTTGAAATATGATTTTATGCCTTTTTAGCTAGTATGTTGTATGTTTTGATTCGAAAAAAGTAACCTGAACAAGACTTATATGATACTCTAAATCAGTATTCACTAGTGAGTCGATCATCAAACTGGTAGGTAAAAGAAAACCTAAATTCAGTGTATACGTAACGATCATTAACTATAAGAGTTTAACATAGAAGAAATGAAATTTCTTGATAAGATCATTTTAATCTTAACTCATAAGGAAATATATTCTATGCATCAAATCAAACGCTGTAAAATCTACGTACCCGCACAAATGTCGATCCATTTGAAATTGGTGTAAGAATATGTTCTTTACGTTGTGCAGCAAGTTTAGGTCTTTGAGGTGTTTCACTTGTAAGTAATGATGGTGCTTGATCTACTTCAACTGTACCATCGGAACAAACTGAATCTAGAAGAAAAGGTAAAACTAATTTCTTAAATCATTGAATAATAAAAAATCAATGATATACATGTTGATAAAGATATGTTTTTTCTTGTTTAAAATACATTCACTAAATGGTGGTCCAGGTGGATCAAGCATGACTGTAATACAGGTTATATTATCAGCACGTAACATTCTTTCTCGCCATGACACTAATGCTTTTTGTACGAGCTCATGTGATGGATTACTAAATGGTCGATCATCATCATCCTATTTGAAGTTTGTATTTCTTAACAAAATACAAAAAATAAAAAATCAGCAAACCTCAGAATTTAAAATCATTTCTTCAGTTTTAACATCACAATTTCTGACAATTTCTACAGCTACTTCTGGTGTTATCATATTCCAAAGACCATCACTAGCTAATATTAAACATCGATGTTTATTTGGATTTATTTTCAATAACAGTTAATTCAGGTTTAGGTGAAACAGAATAAAGATTTGTATGTTTATTTAAACTCCATAAATCTCCTAATGCACGTGATATAGCTAAAAATGGTATTTGTTCATATTCATATGTTGTTTTAATATGTTCATTTNAACTGACAATATTCATTGTGAACTCTTTATCATTTTTATATAATGACTAATTTTTCTTTTAAAATGTCATACTCGAAAGAGCGTCAGACGCTGCATAAGATAGAAGATGATTTAAAATTTCATGAAAAATGTTTTTCGATTTTGAGAGTCTATTTTCTAAAAAATTTGCAGCGTCTGATGCTCTTTCGAGTATGACATTTTAAAAGAAAAATTAGTCATTATATAAAAATGATAAAGAGTTCACAATGAATATTGTCAGTTGTTTGTCATAAAATAAACATTTCGCTTCATAGACATTTTTCTTTTAGAAAGTTTTAGTTATCAAAATATAGCTCGTCTTTTGCTCTTTTTATCTATATGGTTTCAATTCTTTTCCACAATTCTGAAAAAAAAAATAACTCGATTCAAACGATCGTCCAATAATTTTGTCCAATGGAAATTGACTACTGTTGATTGTTATATCTCCTGTTTTACTGTAACTCAATATTTAAAGGTGAAAATTTCTGTGGACATAGTACAAACAACAACTGTTCTTTTGATACAAACCGCATCTCCAAAATCAACTGTATGAGAAAATTATACTCAAAACAAAATCGTCCGAAAAATTTTGTCCACTATAGTAAATAATAATCTAGAAATTCATGAAAAGAAAACAAACATTTTCATTTTATATTTTCATCTGTTATTCAATAATACAAAAACGAAAACAATTCATATTATAGAAATTTCCATGATTAACTACTGCATATATAATAAACAATAGAAAAAAAAGAACAAATAACAATATATATATACAATATTTATCTTCATTGAAGTTACAATTCCTGAGAGATTGAGAGAAAAAAAATTGCCTATGTCGGATAATTGATCAAAGCGATTAGTTTTGTATAGAGAGAGATTAAGAAATTCTTATGAAAAAGCTCGTTTAACACGATTTGCTAATGATGATTTTGTTTTTGTTGATTTCTAAATAATTTAAAAATAAATTTCATTTTTATTTTAAATAAAAATTCTACTTTATCAAGACTTGTTGCTTGTTCATTATTATTATTTGGAAGATTTTTAAGTTCATTAGCTAATCCAATAGTACTATATGATTTTCGTCGATGTGATGAAGTTATTTTATGTTGATCTTCATGATTTATTATTGAAGCTGAATGCGTTCGACATAAACGAGATTTTCTTTTTGAATTTTGCTCATGTTCTTGTTCAGGTGAATGATGATTATTTGAAAATGAAAAACGAAAACGAGAACGACAACGACAACGTCTAGAAGATTTTTCTTTATTGTTATTTATTTGATCAATTTCCATCATATCAATATCAGATTGTTGTTCATTCGTATTATTACGAAAACATTCTTCAACTTTTCGAGCTAAATCATCATCAAATATTGATATTTTAGGTATTTGTTTAGTTAAAGGTAAAAATTCTTGATCATCTTCTTCATTATTTGTTGAACGAACTGGAGGAAGAATATCCTCTTTTGATAAAAAAGATCATGTGTCATTCTCCTTTTGTTCATTGGTTTTTATTAATTTACGAAGTGGTGTGTTATTCAGCATTTCAGTTATATCATCCGATGCAGGACGTTTTGGAGTCTAAATTAACCATCTCGTTTTAATTGAAAAAGATTTTTTTACAGGTGAGACATTGTCAGCAATGGATTTCTTAATGTTTTTGTTTGTTTATATTTTGTAGTTCAAATAAAATTTAATGGCATATGGATCAATGTTGAGTGAGAATAAAGTTAGACAAATTTTTTGAAAAAAAATGCCAAATTTTGAATATTTTCTATCTATAACTCGAGTTTAGGGATAGGCAGAGTCGATCTTTGTTTTCGGAATCGACAGTGTAAACTTTTTGAGGATTGAAATCGTTCATCCAGAATAGGTAGACATAATTTTGCCACAAAAAATCTGTCCTATAATTCAGCTAGTTACCCGGCTCACGGATTTGATCATTAAATAGTCTGTCTATGTTTCATAACAACGATGACAAGACAAGTAGGGTCGAGTTTTTCCAGTTTTTCTGGTTTTCCTAGATCTGCCATTGGGGATATTTTTTTGCTGCTAATATTTCACTTCTTACATCGAATAGAATGTTTTTCAGAATAGAATAAGATTTTATGAACAAAACTGTAGAAAAGAAGAGCTTGAATTGGTGCATCCAGATTGGACGAACCAAGTAGTTTATCTTCTTTTTTGAAAAACATTCTATTCTGCGGAAGAAGGAAAATATTAGCAGCAAAAAATATTCCCAATGGGAGATTTAGAAACACTAGAATAACTAAAAAAATTCAACCCGAATTGTGTTCTCATAGTTATTATGAAACATAGACTGATTATTTTATAATGAAATACACATTGACCGACGCAGAAATGTTCGCTTTATCTAGAAGACTAATGATCAGCTCTGTGCGTCGGTAACTAGCTGAGTTATAGATGAAATTTCTTGCGGCAGAATTAGATCTATCTACTCTATATTGGTTTGTAAACATGGGTGAGATCATCTTATTTGTTATCCAGAACTCGATCAAAAATAAATATTGGTCTTTTTTCAAGACTAAATAAGAGCTTTGCTAGCAGAGAATAAGCACACTTATATATGCCGGAAACGAGCTTTTTTAATTTTGGCTTCGAATCTATTTCGCGCAGTTTATATGATAAATTAAGTCACACTTCCTTAGAATTGTCCAAAACTGAACGGGAAATTTATCTTTTTGTTCAAGTACCAAATGAAAAATTTACTCTCACAGGTGTCAATCCATTAGAAATTGATGTGAGAATATGTTCTTTACGTTGTACAACAAGTTTAGGTCGCTGAGGTGTTTGACCTATAATGATTGTTGATGGTTGATCGATTTGAGCAGTATCTTCGGAAGAAATTGAAGCTAAATGAAAAAGAAATTTTTCGAATAATTTAATAATAAAAAATTGACTTGCATGTTGAGAAAGAGATTTGTTTTTTCTTATTTAAAATACATTGACTAAATGGTGGCCCATGTGGGTCAAGCATAACTGTAATACAAGTTATATTATCAGCACGTAACATTCGTTCTCGTCATGAACTTAATGCTTTTTTTACAAGGTCATGTCATGGATTACGAAATGGACGATCATCATCATCCTATTTCACCTTTAAATTTTATTTAAAAAAATAAAAATAAAAATTGGCAAACTTCTGAATTCAAAATCATTTCTTCAGTTTTAACATCACAATTTCTGACAATTTCCACTGCAATATCCGGTGTAATCATATTCCAAAGATCATCATTAGGTATAATATTAAACATCGCTGATTATTTGGATCAATTTGAATAACAGTTAATTCAGGTTCAGGTGAAACCGAATAAAGATTTGTATATTTATTTAAACTCCATAAATCTCCTAAAGCACGTGATACAGTTAAAAATGGTATTTGTTCATATTCAATTGTTGTTCGCAAATGTTGATTTCAATAATAATTTGATGATGTGATTCAATTTTGGTCTATTCCAAACACTACGATGAACACCAGATTTACAAAGAATATTTCCACCATTTTGACATATGCGTTTTAATTCATTTAGGTCTTCTGGTTTATGATCATGTGTGATACGATTTCCTTTTCAACATTTATATAATGTTTCACCTTCACCTATTACAATTGATGAATCTCCAACATGTTCAATATATAATTTATTTCCACGTACAAATACAACACTTGCTGTACAACCTATTCAAAATAGACTTTTTATTTTAATAAATAAATATTTATTTATTTAAATCTGAAGTACTGATTAAATCCGATGATGTTTTCGTCCATTTTTTGACATAATTCCACATATCATTATGATATGAAAGAAAACCTTTTCGAATAGCTGATAAATTTTTTTTATCATTTTGAAATTTCTGACCAAAAATCATCTTGTTCAAGTATATGTTGACATAAATTTTGTCGAGCAACCTCAGCTGCTTCTTTTCCACCATGACCATCAAATATATCAAAGTAAGCTAATGATATTGAACTTTCTTTATCTGACCGATTTAAACGTTGAAGAGCAATTGTATATGTATCCTCTAAAAACAAAATCAAATTTTATTTTCTGTTCAAATTACATTAGGTATTGATTCACCATTAGCAAGTCATAATGACAATTGAAAATCGTCTCTTGATTTGATGAGAGTGGTTATCTATGATAGACTTGATGCAAGAAAATTTTGAGAAATTAATGAAAATAAATTAAGGTGAATTATTATTGCACAAATTTTATTTGTCGACAATGAAAAAAACATACAAGAAAATTTTTAAATAAGATTGAATCACAGATGGTGATTTACTAAAAATGCCTTTTTTTCTCTTTATTTTAACTCCGATATGGTGTTTTGCTTTTTGATCTTGAATGACGATGTTCTTTTATGATGTTTCTTATGCTTTTTACCAATTTTTGAATTTTCTTGTTGAACTTCCATATTCGGTTCTCCAACTACAGATTCGAATATTGATGCAACTGTTGTTGGCGCAACACTTGAAGATGAAAGCGTTGATTCAGATTGATGTGGTTCTTTGTTTGGACGATAATGATTTTCACGTGAACGAGTGTTTGGTCGACAACGATCTCGACTAAAATAACAAATCGAATAATCATTAAAATGAATTATCTTTTTTTTTTATCTCACTTGAAATGTGAAGATTCTTGCATATAACCAATGCTACGTTGTGTCGATTGTTGAATAGATGATGGTGAAGAAGATGAACCACGTTTTTATTGTTCACCAGCTGGTCGAGATGGAGATCTATTTCATATAATTAAAATATAAAAACAAGGTTTTTAACTTTATTTTACTTTTCATATTGTGTTAAATATTCTTCTTCGCCTTTAATTGAACTTCGACGACCTCGAAAGGATGATGAACGTTGTTGAGAACAATTAACAGCTGTTGGTTGACTATACACTGTAAAAAATAAGGGTTTATGATTTTGCAACGTATAATAAACCCTTTGATCCATTTTTTGAGATGTGTCATATACCCTTTTTACATTTTATAAACGGAAAAATCGTTTATTATTTTTATGAAATACCCATGAAAAGGGTTTGTGATACGTTGCAAATTCAAAAACCCTTTTTCCGTTTATGAAGGTTGCAAAAACGTGTTTTTCGTTTATTAACATCCGGAAACTTTTTACAGTGTAGTTGAAAACGAATTTTATTTTAATTAAATAAAAGAAAATTTTACATCTTTATATCAGAACATTTACCACAACCATTACAAGTAAATAAATTTGCATGAAAGACCGATTTTGTTTTTCTGTTGAATCAAGTGAAATTTATAAAAATGGAAATACATCAAACTTACTGATCACGAGCAAAAGGATCAACTTCAAGTTCTTCCGTTGATCCATCTTCAGATACATCAACAATATATGAAGAAAGTGAATGTATGCTTTCTAAATCATTTGAATGGTCAACATCTTGTTTATCGATTTGTGATTTTAATAAATCAATAATACTATTAAAATCATATTTATTAGTCATGCATATATATTGAATATTAGTATGGACCATTTGAATCTGCAGTTCTGATTTGTTTAAATAATATTCTGTATTTGTTGAAAGTTCTTTCTCACCACGTGTATCGAAGCGATCTATCATACCTTCCAGAGTCTTTTTACGTTGTAAAGCATCGATATAAAGCTTTTCTAACTTGTCAAGCTAAACATTAAAAAAAGGTTTTTTTATCTTTATCGATTTGAATCTTACTTACTGTAAATTTTGTAGCAAGTAAATCAGTAAGAAAACTATCAGAAGACATTTTCGAATGAATTGTTTCTACAGAAAACACGTATATATATATATATATATCTTGAGAGAGAAAAAAGAAAGAGAAAGAGAAAAGACACGCGCTATACACAGAAGCAGCGAAAAAGATAGATAGAGAGGGATTACCTTTTTGTTTTCACCAACGAAAACAAATCGAGGAGTGATTATTCGACATTTGTTGATATTCTATTAAAATCGGTCGAGATAAGTTACATACACACACTACTTACACAAGTGTATGTAGTTAATTCTTGGTCATTTAAACCAATAATATGGCGTTCCATTCTTTACTCTTATCTATCCATGGAGTGTTTAACAACTCTATGTGAAATGTACATAATTAGACTTTAAAAAAATGAATGACTAAGGCTTTTTTTTGAAGATATTGTTTCATAGAATCAAAGAGAGTACTCAGTATGTAAAAAAATATTATTTTCATCGTAATTGGTTAATAATCGTGATCTCTGAGAGACAAAAATCGCTTTTAAATTGAGTCAATCCTTCATAATATACAGGAAAATATCCAAAATATATTTGAAGAGTATATATCAGCTTATTTTAACAATGCTAGGAAATGAACGCTTCAATATGAGTTGAAGAGACTAACGTTTTGTAACAAAAGCTTATTTCAACTAGAGTTATCAATGATCATCAGACTATTTTTTGAGTTATTGAGGGTGTGGGTGTGGGGTGTGGGTGTGGGTGTGGGGTGTGGGTGTGGGTGTGAGTGTGTGAGTGCAGTTGTGAATATAGATACACTGATCGACACCCACACCAACACACCCACATCAACACACCCACACCCCACCCACACCCCACCCACACACCCACACCCACACCCACACCCACCCCACCCTTTTTCTTGCTAATCGGCATAAGAGCAACTGCAGATGAGTAAACTATATGTGTGCTTAGTTTAACTTGCCTTCAGTAATTCATCATTCAATGTCAATATCGATCTTTCTTACGATTCAGTGAGATGTCTTTCTGACAAAATTAGGAAGACTATAATCGTGTTAGTATTATATGTTAAACATGTCTCTTTGTTTTGTGAAACTTTAGATTAAATACTACATAGCATTTTTACGATATTAATACAAACTTCAACGAACATCAATTCATTGGGTAAGTGTTATGTTTATATAATTATGTACAGCGATTGGTGCGATTTGTCTTTTGTGGGTTTACTTCTTCTAGTGGATTCAATTATGTTCTCCCGATGTATTAATTATGATAATATTTCAGTAAATACAGACCCGTGTTGATGTCAATGTATTGGAGACTCTCACTCACATCCATATATATACCCTAACTATCACCACTCTACTCATCCAGAAACCCGATACCATCTATCGCTATCTCCTTAGGACCTTATTAATAGATCTGAACTCAGATCGAAGAAAACGGTCCGTAAACGGCCTTATAGGTTGTAATAACGACGCAAAACGTTAAAAAACGGCGACGAAATCCGTCACGCTTGATTACAGTGTCAGAACCGGCGAATAACGATAACCCTTTTCTAATTAAAAAACGGGCTTCAAAATGAACTGACGGATTCAAACGAAATAGGATGAAAAGTGATAGAAAGAAGCATACCACAATCCGGATTCCGTCCTTTCGCAAGGCATTCGCTGAATTGCCTAAGGCATCTTAATTAGATTAACGACAAAAATAAAATAAAATAAAGATATCCTATTTATATATATAAATTACTAATAGAATTAACAGATCTATTGTAAATGATAAAACCATTTACGATTCCTATAGTTATTCCTAGTAGCTACACTCAGCATCACAATTATTAGAATCAGTGGTATCAATAATAGGGTCCTGCGGGAACGACTTTTCCCTTGTTTTCCCGTCCCGTTTCCCGCGGGAATCGGGAACGGGAATTCCCGTGAGACCTCAGGAACGGGAATGCGGGAACGGGAATTCTGGTGGACACTCCGGAAACGGGAACACGGGAACGGGAATCATATTAAAGATTTGCTGTTCCCGGCAGACCATATGTCCGATTTCTGTTTACATTAAAATCTGTTTATGTTACAGTATTTAATTTCCAATGACTACTTCAAATATAATTGAAAAGATAATAAACATTAATCAACAAAATCATATAAGTTAGTTCAAACATAGATTATGAGAACCACGATATTCTTTACCACCATCGTCGTCGTCGGCATCGAAGCTGGGTTCATCAAGATTAAATATATGTCAAAGTTCAAACTTGAATTCAATTGAAATTTCAACTTTCAACTGAAATTTCAGCTTTCAAGTTTCAAGTTTCAATAGTTTCATGAGCTTCAAATCAGAAATTTAGTTTTATAATACGAAATCTTGTATTGTGAGAAACATGAGATCACTAAAGGCTAGAATGAAGTAGGAGTAGTTTCGATGAATGTGAATAATGAAATCATTGTAGCTGTTGTCAAAGCATTACGGGAACGGGAACACGGAATGGGAACGAAAATTTTGTTACGGGAACGGGAACACGGGATCGGGAACGAAAATTTTTGTTACGGGAACGAGAACGCGGGAACGGGAACGCGGAAACGGGAACAAAAATTTTCAGTACGGGAACGGGAACGCGGAAACGGGAACAAAAATTTTCAGTACGGGAACGGGAACACGGGAACGGGAACCAAAAAAGTTGTTCCCGCAGGTCCCTAATCAATAACAACGACAGAAATTACTAGAAAGATGGAATTATTAAAATGATTACATTTACTCTAANTTCGAAAGAAGCAACATGGGCCCAAATCCTCTTAGGCTTTTTCTTAGCATACTGACCCCTACATATGGGCAAAATATAAGCAAAATCGGCGTGAATCACTTGGAACGGTTCCCTCGTGAGTGAACCGCATACGATAATTTGGATCAGCATTCAAAACTCAGTCGACCTATGTGAATTTCAAGTATTTATATGAGCTGTTCTTTGTCAAAATATTCAACCCTAGTCGTCCTCAGGGATGGGTCAACAAATTATTTTTATTAGACACAGATTTTATTGTTGATTCATCTATGATTTCGACTTCTACTATCATTTTACAAATTAATATTTGACTCCGACTGTTGAAATTCATTTTGCGATCCATCTCTTAGGGAGACAAGGTAGGAATTGTTTGACAAAACAAAAAATTCATTAACTCTTAGATAATATTTTTTCTTTTCAACATCTACTAAATACTAGTCAATAAGACATAAAATCATGTCCTCAACAATAGAATTCTTAGAATTTTTTTATATCATTTTCTAGTGATATCAAGCCTCATGAAAAGTAGTTGGAAAGGATCATCAAACTGATAGACAACAAAGCTGAATTTAGTATACATATGCCAATCACTGCCTATAAAAATTTAACAATATGGAAGAAACCAAATGTCTCAATGGTGGTTGATTGAATTAGTAATCGATTGTTCTCTTTTGTTTTCAGATTTTTAATCCTAACCTTTCTACAGATCAAATTAGAAGCTGTAAAATCCACTTACTCGCATAGGTGTCGATCCATTCGAAATTGGTGTAAGAATATGTTCTTTATGTTGTACAGCAAGTTTAGGTTTTTGAGGCGTTTCACCTGTAAGCATAGATGATACATGATCAACTTCAACTGTACCATCTGAACAAACTGAATCTGAAAAAAAAAAAAAAAACAATTTTTCAAATCATTGAATAATAAAAAAAAAAGTCAATAACTTACATGTTGATAAAGATATTTGTTTTTTCTTATTTAAAATACATTCACTAAATGGTGGTCCAGGTGGATCAAGCATAACTGTAATACAAGTTATATTATCAGCACGTAACATTCTTTCTTTCCATAAAACTAATGCTTTTTGTACAAGTTCATGTGATGGATTACGAAATGGACGATCATCATCATCCTATTTAAATTTGTTTTTTTTCTTTCTTCTTAATCAAAAAACAAACACAAAAATCAACAAACCTCAGAATTTAAAATCATTTCTTCCGTTTTAACATCACAATTTCTAACAATTTCTACAGCTACTTCTGGTGTTATCATATTCCAAAGACCATCACTAGCTAATATTAAACATCGATGTTTATTTGGATTTATTTCAATAACAGTTAATTCCGGTTCAGGTGAAACAGAATAAAGATTTGTATGTTTATTTAAACTCCATAAATCTCCTAATGCACGTGATATAGCTAAAAATGGTATTTGTTCATATTCATATGTTGTTTTAACATGTTCATTTCGATAATAATTAGATGATGTTATTGATTTTTGTCTATTCCAAACAACACGATGAACACCAGCTTTACAAAGAACATTTCCACCACTTTCACGTATGCGTTTTAATTCAAGTGGATCTTCTGGTTTATGATCACGTGTTGTACGATTTGCTTTCCAACATTTATACAATGTTTCACCTTCACCTATAACAATTGATGAATCTCCAACATGTCCAATATATAATTTATTTCCACGTACAAATACAACACTTGCTGTACAACCTATTTGAAATATATTTTACTTAATAAAAATTTTTTTTTTTTGTTTTTGTTTTTGGTTTTTACCTGAAGTACTTGTTAAACCAGATGATGTTTTTGTCCATTTTTCAACATGATTCCACATATCATTATGACATGAAAGAAAACCTTTTCGAATAGCTGATAATATTTGTTTATCATTAGAATTTTCTGACCAAAAATCATCTTGTTCAAGAATATGTTGACATAAATTTTGTCGAGCAAATTCAGCTGCTTCTTTTCCACCATGTCCATCAAATATACCAAAATAAGCCAGTGAAATTGGACTTTCTTTATCTAATGGATTTAAACGTTGAAGAGCTATTGCATATGTATCTTCTAAAAAACAAAAACGATTTTTTTTTTTTTTTTTATTTTCTACTTTTCATTAAAACTTTTTATTTACCCATGTATTTTCGACCACCTGTAAAAAAATTAAAAAAAAAAATGAAATGGCTTTCTTTATATAAACTTATACCTTGATTACTATTTGTGGTAATTCGTAAATTAACTTGAACACAATCACTCATTTTGGCCGTTGTGTTTTGAGTGAAATGATGCATGATGAACAACATATAAACATTGGAAAAGAATCAATAACCAATCTGAACAAAGCAATTTTTCCTTTACTATGAACTCTTTTTTCTAATTGGATAATTGGATGACGAATACTATTCTCTACATATGAATGAATGAAGAAGACAAAACTTGTGTGTGTATTCTGCTTCAGTCTCTGAAGATACAGACCAGTGAGAATAAGTGACAAGCTTATGTATTATTCACAGAGAAGATAAACAACAAGTATAAATGATGGATGTCGTTAATTATCGCGACGTCTTTTAAAAAATTGATAGAAGATTTTTTCTCTAAGTTGATCGCATGTGAAGATAATTTTTGTTCACTTCCAATAATAGTGTCAAAGAAATCGACATATCACTCTCAAAAATCAAGACGCTCTAAGTGTTTATTCTGTATTTATTTTGCTTGAACGTTTAAAATTGATTATCTGTTGACACTTGGCAGTGGCGGATCCAGAATTTTGGAAGGGGGGGGGTGCGATCATGGGCAAAAAACACATTTTCAGGTGCATTTGAGGTAGTATGAACTTGTTTTTCCTTCGTCTTTGCTGGGACAACTCGAAAAAATTTTCTCGAGGGGGGGGCGAGGGCTTGGTTGCACCT